CACCCTATCTACAGTATCTATCTATCTGTCTGTCTGTCTATCTGTCTATCTATCTATCTATCTATCTATCTATCTATCTATCTATCTATCTATCTATCTCCTCCCTCCCTGTCTCTCCCCCCCTCCCTCTTACAAAGAGTTCCTGGAAACCTTAAAAACACTTTCTCTTCATTTTGTTGTGACCTTGATCCAGGGGTGAGATTCTACCGGTTCCGACCAGTTCAGCTGAACCAGATGTTAAAGTTACATCTGGTTCATTGAACCGGTATTTGAACCGACTGGCTGGCCCCGCCAATCCCCCCCCCCTCCTAGGAGTCCCCACATAGCCCATTTTCGATGAAGGTAAGTGCAGGATCTGCGCAGAGGATCTGGGAGGGGAAAAAAATGGGCCTTCTGGAAGTCCAGAAACGGGCCTGTTTCCAGCTTCCGGTGGGCCTCCAGAACCTGGGGGAGGTTGTTTTCACCACCCCAGAGCCCGGGAGGAGCCTCTGGACCCCTGGGAGGGCAAAAATGGCCTCCCCCGGGCTCTGGAGGCCCACCGGAAGCTGGAAACAGGAAGTTCTGGTAGGCCATGCCCATCATGGCCATGCTCACCCAGCAACCAGGCAGCGAACCGGTTGCTTTGATTTTTGAATCCCATCCCTGCCTTGATCTGCAAAACACAACTCTTTATTGATTCTGCAGTGAGTGAAGTGCCGGCTTTTGCACAGCTAGTAGATATGTCACCTTCCTGTACTTGCTTTATGCAACAGAAGCAGTTTGGAGAAGCATTGAGTTTGTTGTAACATGGCCAACACATGGAAGAAATGACATAGCATACATAGTCTTCCTGGGGACGACCAGATCTGGGTGAATGAGAACCTCCTTAGCTCTTCTCTGTCTCTCTTGAACAGAAAAAGACAAGACTAAGCTGCAGAATCAAAGAGAAGATGAGCTGATCCAGAAAATCCACAAATTAGTGCAGAAAAGAGACTTTCTTGTTGACGATGCAGAAGTGGAGAGATTGAGGTAAGAGAACTTCAAATGAAGAACCTTCAAGATGACCTCAATTCTTGATGACTTCCTGGTCTTATTCATGTAGCTTTCCTGGCCAAACGGTTATTACTTTCTTCTGAGACTTGTTACAAAACATCCTATTCCAGTCAATCCAAGTACTAAACCAGTCCAAACCTAATTAACATTTTTCAAGGTCATTTAAATGGCTGCCCCAGCTTTTCCTAACTGGACTCCACACACATGGATATTATTAAATTGAGTTGCACAACCCATGAACTTGTGGGAAAGGAATTGGAAAATTCTAGCCAACATCAAGAAAATTCTATCAAGAAAAGATAGACATTGATAAAAATTGAAATTGAATTTTCTTGATGTTGGCTAGAATTTTCCAATCCCTTTCCCACAAGTTCATGGGTTGTGCAATTCAATTTAAAAATAAACCAATAAAGCAGAACAAAATCTAACTTCTAATAGTATGTTATTTTGCTTTGAAACAGAGAGAAGGAAGAAGACAAGGAGATAGCTGATTTCCTACGGCTTAAGTTGAAACCTTTGGACAATGTTGTACAATCTCCAACCAGTAAGTTTGCATGCCTTTCCCCCCAATTTTTCAAAACAAAGGTTTCTTTCATATAGAAAAATAAACCAAAATGTGGTTTTCTTACGATGACTTTTTACATTGTGGAAAGCCAAGCAATAAGGCTTATAGTATAAACCCTGGTTTGCGGCCAATTGTAGTTATTTCCATAAGCCACAGAAGCAAACCATGGCTTACCATGTTATGGGATCGTATAATTCAAGTAGTTTCAATCCCAGCCCTTAAGTGCTACTACTGATCCAGATCTCAGTGCCATTTACTTACACCACTGTGATGACTCCTACTGCTTCTCCCAAAGTAGAGCTTATGCATTGAACACTAACGTTCTTAAGATGAATATCTAAACGACCCAGCTATGTTGGCTAATTTTATTTGGGTGACTTAAGAGTGGTGTGGTGGCCTAGTGATGAAGAACTCACCTCCCACTCGGAAGGTTGAGAGTTCAATTCTAGGTAGCTGCAGATGTTTCTCTCCTAGGACTCAAAGAAAAAAAAAAATCTGCTGTGAACTTCACATAGGCACCCAGAAGGGGATCCAGCCAGTAAATGCTCAGCTCCCTCCAATGACTCTACCCCCAATAGGGACTATAGGATCATTAAAAAGGAATTTTTTTAAAAAAAATGTGTGAGTTAAAGTCCGTTTATTTGCATCAAGAGCCCTGGTGGCGCAGTGGTTAGAATGCAATATTGCAGGCAAACTTTGCCCACCACCTGGAGTTTGATCCTAATGGGATTCAAAGTTGACTCCTTCCGTCCTTCCACGGTCAGTAAAATGAAGACCCAGATTGTTGGAAGCAATGTGCTGACATTGTGAGTACTGCAGTGGCCTAGAGGTGGAGCTCTCGCCTCAGGAGGCTGTGAGTTTTTACACAAGGAGTAAATACCAGCTGCGAACTCTGCATTGGTGACAGGAAAGGCATCGGGCCAGTAAACGCTCAGCTCCATTCAGTTGGCCCGACTCCACCCCAAAGCGAAGGATGATGTCTTTTAATGGTCTCTTGCGTTGGGATGGAGTTGGGGAAACCGAATAGAGCTGAGCGTTTATTGGCCGGATGCCCTTCCTGTCACCAATGCAGAGTTCGCAGCTGCATTGTATATATTGTAAAACCTCCTAGAGCAGTGATCCCCAACCTTTTTTATGCCGCGGCCCGGTACCGGCATCAGCTGGGCGCCACGGCCTGGTACCGGCATCAGCTGGGCGCCGCCATCTTTTTTTGATGAAAAAGTGCTTCTGGTGAGCTTTCTACCTGGAAAAGCTCACCGGAAGCGCTGGCGCCGCCATCTTTTTTTGATGAAAAAGTGCTTCCGGTGAGCTTTCTACCCGGAAAAGCTCACCGGAAGCACTTTTTAATCAAAAAAAGATGGCGGCGCCCAGCAAACCAGCGGCCCGGTAGGACTTGTTCCACGGACCGGTGGTTGGGGACCCCTGTCCTAGAGAGTACTGTAAACCTCTATGGGGTACTATAAGTCCTGTTGCTAGTGCTATGGCCAGTCATTGTTTATGCAAGACAACAGCTGGATTCCCCCACTGATCTATGATGGTTTTCTTGGGTTAGTGTTAGGGTTCAGAAACCTGAATCTGGCAACGAATGATGCTCTCCGTTTCTGACCTTGGCAGGGGTACCTACAGAGAAGAAACCTGAGCCGCCACCACCGACATCCCTTCCTCCCAACAAGCCCACCATTGCTAAAACCAGCGCTGCTCTCATTAAGGATTGCTGTGGGATGACCCAGTGCGCCATCATGTAGCTCTAAGCATCTCTCTCTCTCTCGGCCAACACCTTCTGCTCGACCCACTTGCCCCGTTGGTCTTAAAAAAAAAAAGCCAACAACAACTGGCGGGCGAAGGAACCAGGACATCAAGCATCCAGATATTCTTGATCGTTGACTCTCCTGTTGTAATTTCTTACAGTAACTTGTGTGCCGAAATGTGCTATTCTTGGTGACTCTTTTGATGTTGCATAGACCTCAGCGAGCATGCCCTAGGTTAAGATGAGGAGACCTTAACTATAACCAGAACACAGAGAAGAAGCGTGAGGTGTAGACATAGACGGGGGGGGGGGGGGGAATGGCTCGTGGGTAACCTCAGGGGACATCCGTTATGTCTAGAGAGGCGTCCTCCCCCTGGCTTGACTCCACATTTTCTTGATTTAGCACAGGATGCTAAGTCGTCTCCGTGAGGTAGGAAGAACAGCCAAGATGAATGCTATGCTTAGCATGCTGTGTGAATGTACCTGCTAGGTCTCGATCTGGCGTGAACAAGTCTTGAATCCAGCCGATAGGTAGATTCTGCATAGGAGCGGAATCGGTTCTTAGCCTGACGCCAGCTCTGAGGTAGAAATAACACGTAGCCGTTTTAATGATCTCTCGAGCACTGGATACACCCCACCCCCTTCTTCCTTTTTAACAGGCGGTATTTGATCGGTGGGCGAAAAGGAGGCAAAACACCTTCTGGGTGGCTGGGTTGGGTCCTTTTCACGATGACGTATGTGTTTAATAAAAACGCTAAATAGAATAGCTAATAGCCTACCGCAAGCTGACCATCTGTTCTATTGTGGTTTGCAGTGTCTGTTTATCGGACTCACAGGATCGCTGTTCTGACCCGGCTCCCCAAACATGACAAAACCTTTGAAAGTTAACTCAAAAGATTCCTTGATTAAGAGTGCCAGGAGCCCCGACAATAAGTGTCTCTCTCAATGCAGGTTAACAAGTCAGTCCATCTGGCCGGAAGATAAATAGTTGCCTGCCACGTCTATTCATCTCCACCCCCTGCCTTTTATCCCCAGAGCTAGGGTCGGGCTTTGCTAGCAGCGGTGGCTCTTCCGTCCCAAGGACCGGCCCATAGATTTCCACTGCTCTCCTCTCCTCTGCCTTCTGTGCACCCAAGCAAATGGCACTGGACCCATCTGTTCCTCCTCTTCCTCATCAGCCACCTCCAGACCTGGGCACTGTTGACTCTCCATCTGAGGACGGCCCAGATTCCGCCTCTCTCTCTCTCTCTCTCTGGCAGATCCATTCCTTCTTCCCCCTCAGAGGTCTCAGGTTGCCCTGATGCTGATCCTGCCTCCCGTGCGGCCTCCTCCTCCGATTCGGCTGCTGGAGGGACCAGTGGCCAAAAGGCCACAACAATTGCTCTTGTGCGAGTAACATTTATAAGTTGTGTTAAGCTCACAAAAGGGAATCACATGATCTGGGGATGCTACTGTCACAAATATGAACCAGCTGCCAAGCATTCAAATCTTGGTCACGTGACGCAGGTTCCAATGGTCTTAAGTGTGAAAAATGGTCATGTCACTTTTCCCCCCAATGACATCGCTAAATGAACTGTTGTAAGTTGAGGACTACCTGTAAGGTATATTTACTGGGGTGGGGGTGGGTGGGTGGGAGAAAGAGACATGAGAAGGTCATTTGCTTGCTTGAAATTTTTATTGACAACTGCTTGGTCCCAAACACACAAAATACCACTTGACCCACAAAAGTGCCCGAACAAATTAAGACAAGTTTATTTGCTGTATTGTTCATCTTCCACCCACCCAGAGTGCATAGTTGCCTTGATCTGTTTTGTTTCAGAACAGTAAAGAAATCAAAATGTCCAAAGTGTCAGTTAAAGAATTTCATCACCTTAATTCATGTTCCAATCAGTCAAGTTACATTATTTTTTCCAAGCCTTTTTCTTTTAAAAAAACCCTTCATTAAATAATCTTGTGCTACGGGAGAAACAAAAAAAAACAAAACACCCTCAAATTTATCTGAAAACAGCACCGTGTAACTTTCAAACAGCGATTTAATTCCAAATGCCACATGGATTCATGCACGATGGGATTATTCTCTATGGATCACCTGGCCACATCTGTATTTCAAATAAAGAACACTACTGGACTTTTGATTTCTTTATTTTTTTTTCCACCCCCCAAAAAACTTGGGTCTCACTTTTTTTTTTTTTTAAAGATGACTTGCTCAGAACCGCAACCGGTTCTGTTAAGCACGACCCACAATCGAGTGACGAGGCCTTTGTTTTATGCAGGTTATAGATAAACAGACAGATGGTCTCACAAATACTCGGAACCGCTAGAGAGAAAGGAAAAAAATATATATCGAACAATCTGTTCCTATAAACTCTAGATCTCTCTAGAGGAATTGTAAAGCTATCCAACAGTGCCGTAATCTCAATCTCAATACAAAAAACTTCCAGTGTTTCTTTGCGTTCGTAATGGCTATATAATTCAGAAAGGTTCAATGTGTGGCTTTGTTTAAAAATCCTCTTTTAAACAAAATCCATTATTTTTCTTTTTAAAAGTACCTATAGCCATCTGGTGGTATTTTTCCCCCGTTTAGTTGCTGGCTATGAAATCCCAAGCCTTTTTAATCCCCCAACCTTGTCCATTATAAAATATAATAGTTACAAAATATATATTTTCCGCGTTCGGTCAGTGGAAACCTCGTAATAGGTTCTTCTCCTTTTGACAAGCAGTAAAAAAATTTCCACTCCTGGCAAATACAACCCATTGTAAGTGCCAAGTTTACCCGGGCAGGGGTATAATAAACCTTTGGAAGACGTTTTTAAGGTCTTTCTTTCTCTCTCTAAAAAAGAAGGCAAAAGGATCCCACTGACTCAATCTCTTCTTTGAAGGCTTGCCCATCTAAAAGCCAACAACTACAACAATCACAACCGCACACACACACAAAAAAATACCCCAATAAGAACTGGAAGCACAAAAAAAAAAGAAAAAAAAAGACCACGACACACAAGAGCAGCTTTTCAGCACTTAGGAGGAATAACAACCAGACAAGAGTTTTAAAAAAATCACTTTCTCGATTCATACTAAGCTTCCCGTTTATTAGACGTTTAAAAAGTTTCGCAAACAAGGTTAGGCCCCTAACCTTGGCCATTCTACCTCCTGCTCCCATCTCGGCACTGCGGAAGCATCATCGCCTTTTCCGTCTTAAAAACTTCCCGTCGCCTCGCCGCGACCCATGATTTATGCATCTGGATGCATATTTTACTTTCTTGAAATCTCAACGGTCCCCGTCCGTCCCTCGTCCCCTTCGAGGGAGCGGCTGCAACCCGAGGCTTCTCACGGTGCCTTCAAAACGCACGGCACCGAAATGGTTTCCTGCCCCCCCCACCCTCACACTTCATCTCAAATCGGCATCCACCGGCAGCGCTTATAAAAAAGGAAGCTTAAAAACCATTTCCTGCAAGTTTCTTCGACGGAACTGAACTATCACAGAAGAAGGCCTTTTTAAAAAAAGAAGGGTGTTTTTTTTTTTTTGGTACCAAATCGACCGACTTCTCGGAGTTTGTTGGTTTTTTTTTTAGTTAATTTACAAGTCATCGGGAAAAAAAAAAGAAAACGAAACCCAGTTCCCAAGTTTTGCCCTGACGAAGCTAAAGACCCCCACCGCCTATTCCCACCTAAGTGACTGTTTTAAAATTCCTCTCGGGAGGCACATTTTGCACAACAAATTATGCACTGCGTTGTTATTTCCCCGATAACAAACAATCGCAAAAGTAGAAAGCCCCGAGAGATTTAGGCGTGATGTGTAGGTATGACATCTTGTTTGGGTATCGGGTGACTTTTAAAAAAATCCGTTCTCTGCCAAGGGTGCTTGCATTTGCTTTTGTCGACATGGGACAGAATAAAAAAAAGGGTAAAATGTTAGATCGCTCTTAACAAATATTTTGAGATTCTAGTAATAGTAATAAAAAGGAAACTGCCCCGCTTAACTTCGGTTAAGGGTGTGCAACGTACTTGCACAGAAGGCAGTCAGAGTGACAAAAGAAAACAGGTCGGTGGCTACACTCCCTCCAGACAGTGATTAAAAGTAATAAAAAAAAAATATATAGCCGACTTTATTTCCTGTGCAGTCTTAACGATACGAGGCCTTTTCACACCGGGTACGAGATTTAAAGCTTGGTTACGGGTGCAAAGGAGAAGTTGGCTGCCAATTTCACGCGGCTCTTCGGCTGCTTTCGAGCTGGACTGTCCATGGCTTTTCGGCATGCCGGCTGTTCAGATGAGGAACAGGGAAGTGCCGAGTTGTTTTGGGTCGCTTTAGATGCTTCGGAAAAGTGACCGATTTCTTTGTTAGCTTCTGAAGGACCAGCAGCCTTCTCCTCTTCAGGACCCATCGCCATCTCTGGAAAAAAAAAAAAAGGGGGTGGGGGACTGTTTAGCTTTGAAAATGTAAGGTGAAGGTATAGTTAGTGATGGCGAACCTTTCTTTGGTGGTGTGCCGAAAGCGTGCGCGCAGGGACTCACAATGCAATGCGCCCCCCCATGCCCGCGCAACCCCCCCCCCCCCCCATCCCTTTACCTGCACCGAGGATGCGTGCACCTCCTAGCTGATTCTCGGCCCGTTTTGAGGCTGTTTTCGCCCTCCCGGAGGCTCGAGGGAAGCCTTTGGAGCCTCAGGAGGCCGAAAAACGGGCCCGTTTCGGAACTTCCGGTATTTCCAGAAGGCCTGTTTTTCGGCCTCCCGAGGCTGCAGAGGTTTCCCTTGAGCCTCCGGGAGGGCAAAAATGGCCTCAAACGGGCCAAAAATCAGCTGGGAGCCGCGCACACGCACAGTGCAGGTAAGTTTGGCTGGGGCTCGCATGCCCGCACAAATGGCTCTGCGTGCCACCTGTGGCACACGTGTGCCATAGGTTCGCCATCAAGGGTATAGTCGTAGGAGCGTTACTCATCTCTGTTTCAAGGCCATTGAGCCAGCGCTGTCCGAAGATATTTCCGTGGTCATGTGGCCAACATGACATCACGGAGCACTGTTACCTTCCCACCAAAGTGGTACCTATTTATCTACTTGCATTTGCTTGCTTTTGAACTGCTAGGTTGGCAGAAGCTGGAGGGAGGACGGCAGCTCACTCCATCATATTGCGCTCAGGTCTCAAACCTGCGCTGCTAGCTTTTCATCAAGCCGTTTACTGATTCTTCAGACATCTCTTATGCCTTTAAACACAACACATTCCCATTTCATAATCCCTTGGACTACAAAGAGATCAGATTAGATCTGAGTCGGTCTCCAGAACCAGAACTTAAGTCTTCCAAGTTTTCAGATTTGTGCTTGGGAGACTAAACCTCTGGTTCCGGTGACCGACCCAGACTGGATCCTGCAATATTATACTGAAACATGTATATTTGCCTTCATTTGTGAGATCAGATCTATCAACCCAAAAGGAAATCAACTGTAACAGTCCTTTGGAAGGACAGATAACTGAAGCCGAAGCTCAAAGACTTTGGCCACCTAATGAGAAGAGAGGACTCGTTGGAGAAGACGCTGATGTTGGGAAAGATGGAAGGCAAAAGGAGAAGCGGAAAGCGGAGGATGAGATGGTTAGATCATGTCATCAAGGCAATGAACATGAGTTTGGGCAAACGCGGGGGAATTGCAGAGGACAGAGGAAGGATCTGGCATGCTGTGGTCCATGAGGTCGCGAAGAGTCAGACATGACTTAGCAATTGGACAACAAAAGTTTGTCATGCAGGAAGGGAGCACAACACAACCTATGCCAATCGTTAGAGCTGCTGAAAACCTGGATAGAAATGTAAGCAGATAGGATTTTACTGCTTGGGTTGCCTTTTATTCAGAATTTATGAAATAGGAAGAAGGGGAAATGAGAGAGAAAATGAAAGCTACTGGACGGACCAAATTACATGGGAAGAACCAAGGGACCATTTCATGTTCCAAACAATTCAGTTTTGTAAAGGTAGAAATCAGGTTTGGCTTTTTTTTCTGGATGAAGAAGAAGAAGAAGAAGAAAAGGAAAAGGTCTGGACAGATTTGTTCAGCTTTAATAAACGGTAATCTTTCATGAATGCCAACGTGTCCAAAAGAAAAAAGAAAGTTAATGAACTTGACTCTGAATATGGCAAAGTAAAAGAGGCTGCCTTCAGTTGAATTGTTACTATTTCCACCGAAGAAATGCAGCCTGTCGGATGAGGTGGTGTTAAAAATGTTCACATATAAAAGAAAAATGAAACTCGGAACTCTTAAGAAATGCTCAGCTTATGCTGGAAAGAAAAGTTGTTCACTCGATTTCTTTAAGGTATAAACCGGGTAGACCAATCCCAGAATTTGGAGCCAATTGGAATTCTGGGAGATGCAGTTTTCTGATATATCTGTAAGGTCAATTTGCTAAGGAAGGGCTCCTAAAAGTAGCACTTTTTGCTTCTATTGAGTGGAGCCAGATTTTCAAAGGCGACGTTAACCTTTACCAGAAGGGATTGGTGAATGCTCTTCGAAACGGATGAGATCGGTTGATTCAAGAACCACTGGATCTGGTCTCAGCTGCGGGGAGGGAAGGCAGGAAGGGACCGGCTCGCATAAAAGATCGACGGGGGATACCTTGGGGAGGCACAGCAGCTCTTCCTCGGTTTGATGGGAGACTGCAAGAGAGGGAAGAAAAGGAAGACGACAACTCCTTAGAAACTGACAAGGGCAGTGGACCTCAGGACTCGCATTTAAACGCAAGCTTGCAAATTCACGCTTGGTTCTTGTAGTAGGGTCTAGCGGTGAAGACATGCTGCTAGTAAGTGGGAGGCCTGAGTTCTAGTGCTAGTCCCATCTTAGCCATGGAAGCCAATTGGGTGGTCTTAGGCCAGTCAGTCCCTCTCTTTCTCAGCCCAACCCATCTCACGGGGTTGTCGCTGTGGGGAAAACAGGAGGAGGAAGAAGGCAATTGGATATGTTTGCCACCTTGAGTTATTTGCCAAAACAAAAACAAAAAAAAAGGCAAGTCACAAATAAATAAAAAGAATTGGGCTGGGAATTAAAAGAAAGGAAAAGAACAGCCCTAATTCTATCCATGCTCCATGGCTGATCTACTCTTTATTCTCTCTTCTTGATCATAATTATTACCTAATAAATGTTATTAGACAATACTATTATCTTTTGGCTTATCCATTCAAGGCCTACAAGTCTCGGCATTGCTAGGTGCAAAAGAGTGGCCAGTCAATCAATCCATTTACCAAGGTTGGGTGCCTCCAGGATTAAATCTAAGGATTTGTCCGCTCCTGCTGCCTGCGTGGATTGTCCATCTCCATCGGCAAGTTCATTCTCGTAACTTTCGTCAGCCAGGGGAAGACTGGGAGAGCTAAAACGAGCTAACAGAAGGGAGGAGATTAGCAAGCATTCCCTTTCGACGGACAATCTTATAGGGAAAGATATTTGAGCTATATTTCCCACCCACCCACAAAAAAAAAGAAGAAGAAAAGTTAACTCCCAGTGGGGATGACTTACTTTTCATGTCGTTCTTCAGAACAACAATCTTCTTATGGCCGTGGCCTTTTATCCATACTACCTAATTAAAGGCAAGAAAAGACCACAGGTGAGATGGAAGTTAAGATGAACCTACAGTAGGTAGGCTTCTTGCTGCCTTAAAGGTCCCCTTATACTCAGCATTCTTGCAATCTTCCCTCTTTGGTTAATTGCACTCACACTTTAACTGGATGAGTCCCATGAAAACGTTGCAAAATTAGCCCAAATCACGATTTCATTGTAAAGTTAAGACGGCAGTTGCTGCTATGCCCCATTCGATGCAGGCAGTCTCTGCTAGCAACATAAATTATGGGCTCATTGATGGTCGTTAAGTTGAGGGCTAACTTGTACAGATTTGCGAAGGAAGGGATGAATAAATAAATCTATTGTCAACTCACAAAATATTTCTGTGGTTTTTTTTTTAGAGTTGCCAATAGAAACGGAGGAGGGAACAGTGCAGCAGCTTGCAAACTGAAAGTGCATTCCATAAATGTTTTCAAAGATAGTAACTAGGTGACTGAAGTTTCTGCCGCGCAAAATTCTAACTGGAGAGCATAATTGATGACTCCTGGCTATGGATGTGTCCCATTGGAGAATATGAATTACGATACACCCAGGGGGTGGGGGGAAAACCAGGGTCAAGGGTGACAATGAATGATGTGTCTCAGAGTCAGCTACACCCAGGCAGTGCCGGCATGTTAACTCCCAATAAATCCTTTCGAAGTTTTGGAAGTTTGGCTCGAGACTCATGATTTAATTGCGGGGTAACTGCCGGAATCCTGACATCTATTCTTTTCTGGAAAAAATGGATTTGACATTCCACAAAAGTATTTTAAACAAAACACCCCTGAAGCAATACAGCTGCCAGACGCCATGAGTTGCCTTCCCGAGAGAATTTTATTCACAGATTTCTGAACGGCTAGCCACGTTTACTTTAGTTGTTATGAATTTTACAGGTCAGCTAAAGATATAAAATGGACATTTTCAAGTGAGAAGGTCGAGAACGTTAACAGCAGGATGGGCCCAGTTACGATATCGTAGGAAAGTAACTCCTTTTAGTTCTAAGGGAACAATAGGGGAGCCAGGGTCTGAGGGCCCATCCGGTTATGACGACTACGGAAAGCTACGATTTGGAGCAGGGGTCGCCAACCTTTTGGACCTCAGGGACCACCAAACTCATAATTTTAAATCCCACGGACAAGAGACCCTGGGAAAATCCCCAAAAAAGACTGCAGGAAAATCCCCCATCCCGTTTTCCTATTGATCGATCGTTCTTTATTTGGGATTGAAGGATACCATCTCCAGCTCCGTTCTCAGGGGGAGAGAGAGAGACTTTTGGCTTCATGCAAGGAAAGCAGCAGAAGCCGCAGAAGTCTTTCTTTCTCTCCCCCAAACTCTGCCAGAAAGGAGTCTTTTGTGCTGGCACAGCCTCTTGGAGCAGGGATGCCTTGCAGGGTCGCAAAGACTCATTTCTGGCAGAGTTTGGGGGAGAGAAAGAAAGACTTCTGCTGCTTCCCTTGTGTGCAGCCAAAAGCAGAAGAAGAAAGAAGTGGAAAGAAGCAGCCCGGTGGCCAGGCTAGGCATGTGGGGCGAGTGGGGCAAGTTCCCCCCCTCCGTCCTTTCCCCCCTCCCCCCCACTACCTCGTGTTGTTTGCAATGCAAGCGACACAAGCCTTGTGTTGCCACGGACCATGTGGGCGGCGCAGCCTTGTGTTCCCGCGCAGCCTGGATTAATTGTTTTGGGGGTAACATTTCTCTGCGGACCACCACAATTTTCTCATGGACCACCGGTGGTCCCTGGCCCACTGGTTGGCGACCACTGATTTGGACAGTTAAGAATCCTGCCCATTTTAAGAGAAAAGAGAAAACCAGGAGTCGCTACAAACCGATGGAATTGCCCCCAGAAGCTCCTCAAGGTTATTGAAGCCGTAGGTATCGGGTTGAAGGGCTTCTCCTGTGTATTTGCTATAGGCTGATGGGAACTCGTGGAGGAAGATCTGCTGGTAATGGTAGGTATGAAGCAGCAACCTCACTTTCTTGGCAAAAATATACAGGTCTGTAAGCTTCACATATTCTGCATCACCATCAATAAAAACCTGTAGGCGATATCAAGAAAGGACTTCCATGTTAACTAGTCCTCATGGCTTTCACAAAGGAAGGAACATTCTTGAGTATGAACTACACAAAGTCCTCGGCTTGCAAAAGTTGATTTAGCGACTGTTCGAAGGCACTGGGAAAAGTGACTTATGACTGCTTTTCACACTTACGACCATTTCAGCATCCCTGTGGTCACGCGATCGAAATTCTGAAGCTTGGCCACGGGCTCATATTTATGACGGGTTGCAGCATCCTGGGAGGCTCACGGGAATCCCCTTTTGCGACCTTCTGACAAGCCAAGCTGGATTCACTTCACAACCGTGTTGTCAACTCATAAAATATTTCTACGGTCTTTTTAGAGTTGCCAACAGAAAGGGAGGGGGGGAGCAGTGCAGCAGCTTGCAAACCGAAACTGCATTCCTTAAATGTTTTCAAAGATAGTAACTAGGTGACTGAAGTTTCTGCCACGCAAAATTCTAACTGGAGAGCCTGATTGATGACTCCTGGCTATGGATGTGTCCCATTGGAGAATATGAATGATGATACACCCAAGGGGGTGGAGGGGAAAACCAGGGTCAAGGGTGACAATGAATGATGTGTCTCAGAGTCGGCTACACCTAGGCAGTGCTGGCATGTTTACTCCCAATAAATCCTTTTGAAGTTTTGGAAGTTTGGCTCGAGACTCATGATTTAAATGGGGATAACTGCCGGAGCCCTGACATGTGTCACTAACTTAACAACTGCAGTGATTCTCTTAACAATGGTGGCAAGAAAGGTCATAAAATGGGGGCAAGGTTCACTTGATTGTCTCACTTAACAACAGAAACTTTGGGCTAAAACTGGGGTTGTAAGCCGAGGACTAGCTATAGAAGATGCAATGTATTTGGAAACCAAAAGATCCCATCCTTGGCATGGGCATTTTACACCCTCCAGATGTGGCTGGTGGTCAGCTGGATTGTGGGGTCCTTAAGTGTTCTCTGAGCTTTCTTCCAGATGTTTCCATTACTCAACTAGGTGACGTCATGATGATGCTACCTAGCTGGGTGACGAAACGTCTGCGAGAAAACCGCCAAGCTCAGGGTGCATCCAGGACTCCACCGTTCAACCCTGAGCCACAAATATTCTCTTCCATCACCCCCTGGATCCCACAACTTGTGGGTTATGACCCATGTTGAGGCCACATTACTTCTGGGAAGGTTGGAACCATCCGTACCAACCCTCAAAAGACTTCCAAGGAGATCAGAAGAGTTCACCTCAAATGGAATGGAATGTTTGACTTTGTAAAGTTTTGCACAGCTCCAGTCTAAAATTAAAAACCCCACCCCGTGGCATTTCAATTCCAACCCATTTGCTAGGTTGGAGAATGGCTAAATCTATACTATAGAGGAACATGGAATAATTAACTATTAGGGCCTGCAGACCCAGAGGGACCTTTCCTCTCCACGGCCTCTGTGTTAGGAGCCCAGCTGTCCTCCTCACCTCGATAAAATAAGGCACGCTCATCAAAAGCTCGATAAAGGTCATGAAGCCGTATTCACATGGGTTCAGGACAGTCCCCTGGACAACCTCGTAACGCCTTTTAAGCTCCTTCACAGAAACCACGGTGGCTTCGTCCAGCGTCATGAGGAGCACCAGAAGGTGTGAAGTCAGAGTCCGGAGGGGTTTTTTATTGATCAGCTGTAGCTGTTTCCCAGAGTCTGTATTGACCACCTGGAGGAATTGAAAGAAGACACCAGATCAACCTTCCATCCTATTGACGACAAGTCCCAATCACTGGCAGAGTTACAGGAGGCGGGAATTCTGGGAGGAGGACACGAGATTGGGGAAGAGACTGTCCCCGTCGTTCAGAACTCTAGAAGGAAGATTTCACAAGGGGTTTTGAGTTGCTGGCGTTTCCATGTGGTTTGGATTGCTCAGCTCAAGGCTAATTTTTCCTCACGTGGCATCTGTTCTGAACAAGGCTTCCTGAGACCGTAATTAAGCACACAGTTCTGACCAAGGCTTCTTCCCAAGACCGTAATTAAGCACACACTTACTCTTGTTTTATTTCAATGCTGGGAATTATGTTTATTCCCAGCTGGTAATGAGTCTCAAACAGTCCCTCGAGATAAGCACCCACCTTTCTCTCCTTTGAATTGCTGCCAACAACTAAAGTGCCAAAGTAACTATAAAAAAACCAACCGAAGTACAAAGTCCACACAAAGCTTCAAGGATTAATCCGAACAGAGCAAACGACTTTGCTTCCTGCAAAGGTTTCTCTACCTTTGCACTTCCTTTATACCTTATGGGAAGGGCAATCACCTCCCAGCCTTACTCCCAAATTGCCCCTTTTGTCTCAGCTGCTCTTGCCTTCTAGCAGCTCTGTGCACATGCACACTAGGAACAGGCTCCCTTTGTTCCTCTGCCTCGCTGCTGCCAGGCTCCGAAGGCTCCCGAGTCAGCACCCCACTCCCAGATGGTCCTGGCCCCATCTCTGTATTGGATGCAGGACCCTTGTCCGAGTCCTCCCCAGACTCCCGGACTGGTCCCTATTCTTCCCCACTGTCCAATTCCACTGCCATCTGTACAGGCTGCCAGCGAACCACAAGAGCACCTGGAAACCTACCTTGATGACATGGCAAAGTTTCTGCATCAAAGCTGGAACGGAGCCAACATCGTAGTCCTGGAGACGCAATGGGTAGCCAAACGTTTTAGCGTATTCGGCAAGGACGTCTGCCATCAGGAGGCATTTATCCTTCTGGGAACGGAGCAGCTTCACAAACTGGGCAGCTAAAGCTTTGACTTGTTCTGTCTCGGTTAGTGTCAGGATTTTCTCCTCGCCGCATTCCAGGACCTGGAGATGAATGTCGGCTTGGGTTATTCAAGGGCGCCCGGAGAAGGCAATGCTAGAATACTGAGAGCAACTGTAGGATCCAAAGCTCAATAGCTTTTTCTTTCAAAAGCCATGAAAGGCAAAGATAGCAGGTAAATATCTCTCTTGGGTTAAGCTGGATTTCCAGCGAGCTCATGAACGTACAGGTAGTCCTCATTTAGCAACCATAATCCTAATCCCAGAACAAGCAGATTAGGAAGAGTAACCTAGAATGTTATCATCATGTACATTTTGGACACGTTGACTACCTCTGCATTTGATTATGTAAACACCGTGTTATCACCCAGTCCACATGTATTTCAATAATGTGAAATATAGTTCTTTTGTGACTACGGAAGGATCCTAGGCGGATTCCCCCTTTTACTCCACCTCCAGGATCCACCATTCTTTCTCTTACAATTGCCTACCTGTAAGACGTCAGGTATGGCTTCAAAAAGTTCAAGGAGTTTGGTAAATCCATAATGAGCCAGTTTGCACTGGCGCCCAAAGTGATGGTGGTAGGAAGGGATGAATTTGTTGAATGGCATGCGGAAATAGGGCTGGTGGCGCAGCAGATCGATCACCTCTTTGCAGAACTGCTTTGTCCTTTCAATTTCTTCCTTGGTACGTTCTGAAGATGGAAAAGGAGCACATTTAGCAATGTTTCTTTAAAGTGTGGCCTGAGGAGCCCTCCTCCAAGCTGCTCTTGGGGCCCCGTAAAAATCAAATTTATTTGTACCCTACTTTCATTATTTTTGTAAATAACTCAAGAGGATGAATATATGGAATACTCCGTCCTCCTTCTCCTCCCCCCACAACAACTGTCAGGTGGGTTAGAGGGGAGAAAGTGACTGGTCCAAAGTCACCCAAAGTCATGCCTAAAGTGGGACTAGAACTCACAATCCCCTGGTGACTGGCCCAAAGTCACCCAGCCTATGCTGGGACTAGAACTCACAATTGCCTGGTGATTGTCCAAAGTCACCCAGCCGACTTTCATTCCCAAGACAGGACTAGAACTCACTGTCTTCTTCTTTCTGGACCAATACCTTAATCACTACAACAAACTGGCTCTCACCATCAAAGTTATTTGTCAGATATTGAGGATATTTTCAAAGATTTAAAATGGTGTCATTCTTCCCAGCATTATCTTTAATTTGCTAAAATATAAGGCTTTTCCATGAAAAATATCTAAGGGGTGTTTAACATTGCTGTTTTACACAACCCAATCAATAAATATTCTACAACGGCGATATTTTAAGTTTTTCAATACGATAAACATCAATAAATATAACCCATACAGACAAAAGCTCTTTTAGGGTCCTCCATCATTTTTAAAACTGGAAAGGGGATCCCCAAAAAATAAAATAAAATTAAGGAGCACTGATATAGTATGAATATTTGGGAATGAAGTCAGGATAAATCCGGCTTTTCGTTCTCTGTCATCAAACCAATTGAATTCTGGTCTACACAAAGCACTGACATCTGCAGCATTTTCTGAATTTCCAGGATTATATTTGTGCCTTCTGCCTTTTTTTTTTTTTTTAAAAAAAACATTTCATGGGTTTTGTTCATTTTCCAGGCTTGACACCCTGCCTTTCCTTCAGGAATTGAAGAGAGAATCTTAAAACCGTCAGCCTCGCGGGCACCTGTCTAAATTCAGTGTCTTTGACAAGCGTGGTTTTTATTGACTCTCTTTGGAAAGATTTATGGAGCTTAAAAAAAGGGGGGAGTATTGGAGGTAGGAGTGGAGATCGCAAGATTTCCCGCAACTGAAATCTTTTCTCTCTAAAAGACGATCTGTTTCAAAGTCCATTAGGGTGGAAATAGCTTTTATCTTCTCACTAGCTACAGTCCTAGTCAATCGAAACAATAAATAAACCTCACCAATCAATAAGTAACAGCCTGCCTGGCAAAATGGGCTATTTTTTTTATTCCTTAACTCAGCTGGGGATTTACACGCTTGTCTCCTGGATCTTCACCGCTCTTTGAGAATAACACCTCCTCCTCTGATATTTTGTCATAATACAGGTAGTCCTTGCTTAGTCCTATTGCTAAGCAGGACTGCTCGAGTGAGTTTTGCCGCATCTTACGACCTTTCTTGCCACGGTTGTTAAAAGAGAATCACATAATTCATTTAGTAACACGGTTGTTAAGTGAATCTGGCTTCCCCATGGACTTTGCTTGTCAGAAGGTCGCAAAAAGAGGAGCCCATGACCCCGGGACACTGCAACCGTCATAAATATGAGTCTGTTGCCAAGCAGCTGAATTCTGATCATGGTGGATGCTGTAATGGTTGTAAGTCACTTTCTTCACTGCTGTTGTAACTTCGAACGGTCGCTAAACAAAACTGTTTTAAGTTGTGCACTGCCTGTATCCACCTTGTTTGACAAGCAATGTTGAGAGAGAGACACACACAAGAATTTTACTGAAGTTTTCAACAGATGGTGTCATGCCCATCAGAGTCTGAATCCGAGGAGGAAGACGAATAGCTGACAGGGAGTGGGAGTGTGGCTTTGTTGGCTATGGAGAAAACTGGGGAAGGGCAAAGTCCAGCTGGGCAGAGCAGGGGAGTGGTAGAACAAGGGAGAGGGAGTTCAGAGGAAGACCCAGGCCCACCCCCTCTTCCTCCTAGGGCACGCAGGGAGGAACGGAGAAGGGAGCAACGTGAGTTGCATGGCTTATGGGGGAGGAAAGGGCCGATTCCCTTCACTAGCCACAGCTGGGAATGAAAGTTTAAAAGAACTGAATGCTGCATGTGCCTTCACGTCTGGAATTCTTGCTCCTGGCCCTGCCAAACTAATTAATTCATTTTGGCTTGATTGGACTTATTGTTAGTTTGTGTTGACCATGTTTTGGACTTGACTCTCTGCAGCCAAAGGCTGTTCCTGGGAGAGTTTTTCTCCAGCCAGAAGATAACCTGGACATTGGGGGCAAAGTTGCAGCTAATAAAGGGACTCTTAATGATTATCTGACTAGGTTGCCTTTGTGCAATGCCCCAGGTCATCACAGACAGCAACATACCTCTCTTCGGGATACAAATGACCATTTCATTATCTTGCTGAGACAAAGAAATGGTTGTGTTGGGAATTTCGGATATCAGATCCACCAATTCACACACTCCGTATTCTGTGACGTCCCAGTCTTTCGAGAAACACCTACGAGATTAATAATTCAGGCAAAACACTTAAGGGAAAAATTCTGCATTAAGATCAGGCTGTAGAACTAGCTAAGCAAGCATAAAATTGAAGCTTTCTACTTGCTCATGGTAAGCCTCTTACTGGGAAACCAAAAGAAAAGCAGGACATTTTTCTGAGGTTTAAAACCCAGCACAGAGAAAAACATTTTTTTTAAAAAAAAAAATGTAACAATCGTTTGTCAAGCCATGTATTTACTGGAGCGCTGTAAGGTATTTCTGTAAATCTTCATTTTAGGATATATGCGATTTACTGCCCACAGGTTAAAGATTCCAAAGTGATAATGGTAATTTGATGGAAATAATAATAAAAAACCCCCAGATATATTTGGGAAGAGACCCTCCCTCACAAATCGGCCCATTTCCGGTATTTTTAAAACCAACTTTAAAATCAATCGATTTTAAAATCAACTCATTTCAATTCCTTCCATTCTGTAAACTTCTAAACCTCGAGGATTTTACTTTTTTCAGGTAATTTTAATTCAGAGAGAAGAAATCAGTATCTCCTTTTCCGTGAAAAAAATAAAAATGGCTCGCTTGAAACCCCAATTTAAAATTTAAATTTAAAAACAAACAAACCAAGAAGGTAGTATTTTTTACATTTGCGGTTGGAAATGCAAAAAGATACCTGCCACAGCTATGCATACCTACCAGTGATAAGCATGTAAGAATTCTTTGACTACAACTTGCTTACTGGCCTGGGACTTCACAAGCTTCAGTAAGTCTTGAGTGAATCGCTTGACTTGAGCCCTGTGCGTTAAGGTTAACAAACGCCTGGTTCCTATCCCGAGAATCTGAGAAGGGGGGAAAAAAAAAAACATTTGTAGGGAGATCTATGGTGAAGCTTGAGCGCTCATAAATCAAGTTATATTTCTTGTGGTTCGCCGGCAGCCTGTGCAAATGGCAGCGGAATCAGACAGTGGGGAAGAACGGGGATCCGTCCGGGAGTCTGGAGAGGACTCAGACGAGGGTCCTGTGTCTGATGCGGAGATGGGGTCAGGACCATCTAGGAGTGGGGTGCTGACTCCGGACTCTCCGGAATCTGGTAGCAGCGAGGCAGAGGAGCAAGGGGAGCCTGTTCCCAGTGCGTGTGTGCACAGAGCTGCTAGAAGGCGAGAGCAGCTGAAACAAAAGGGGCAACTCGGGAGTAAGGCTGGGAGATGATTGCCCATCCCCTAAGGGATAAAGGACAGACCAAGATGACAAAACCTTTGCAGGAAGCAAAGTCATTCGTTCGGTTCAGATTCATTCTTGAAGCTCTTTGTACTTCGGTTGGTTTTTTTCTCTCGTTCATTTGATACTTCTGTTATTGGCAGCACTTCACAGGAAAGAAAGGTGGGTGCTTATCTCGAGGGACTGTTTGGGACTCATTACGGGCTGGGAATGAAAATAATTCCCAGCGTTGCAATAAAACAAGACTTGTTTTTAAAATAAGCATGTGCGTAATTACGGTCTCGGAAGCCTTGGTCAGAACAACATTTCTCTCAATTAGCGTGAAGGACTGGGACCAAAATCTGAATTCAAAACTCCACAGATCTGGACAAGACCAAGCCAATAGGATGTCAACCCTGAAGTGAGCCTGGCCGAAGCCATCTGGTTGCCATACAGCAGTGGGAGGTGGGGAAATAGCTAGATGGGATTTTGTAGCCAAAACAATGACATTTTCGGAACCAAGGTCATTTTCACAGGTGGCTGGCCAGAGGAGGGGCCGGTAACCCAGCAATCAGCCAGCACCTGGACTGGACAGCATGACCAGTGACTTTGGGGGCAGGGAGGGGAAAACTTTTACTTTTAATTAGGTGAAAGCTGCGAGAAACCTCAGTCAGCTTTCATCAGACTGTGCCAAAATGATGTCATACAGGTAAGAGATAACAGATAATCAGAGTTGGAAGGGACCTTGTAGGTCATCTAGTCCAACCCTCCTGCCCAAGTGGGAGACCCTACACCATTTCTGACAAATGGCAGTCCAATCTCTTCTTGAAAGTCTCAAGTGATGGCGCTCCCACAACTTCCGAGGGCAACTTCTGTTCCATGGGTGGATTGTGCTCAGTCAGAAAAAATGTCTCCTTATTTCCAGGTTGAATCTCTCCTTGATCAGTTTCCATCCATTATTCCTTGCCTGGCCTTTGGAAAATAGCCTGACCCCCTTCCTCCTCTCTGTGGCAGCCCCTCAGATATTGCAGCACTGCTATCATGTCTCCCCTGGTCCTTCTCTTCCCTAGTCTAGACAGACCCAGTTCCTGCAACCGTTCTTCGTATGTTTTAGCCTCCAATCCCCTAATCATCCGGGTTGCTGTTCTCTGTATTCGTTCTAAAGTCTCAACATCTTTTTTATAGTGTGGTGACCAAAACTGGATGCAGGACTCCAGGTGTGGCCTTACCAAGGCTTTATAGAGTGGTATTAGTACCTCCCTTGATCTTGATTGTATCCCTCTGTTACTGAAACTTAGGACTGCATTAGCTTTTTTGGCTGCTGCTGCACACTTACTGCAGTATCCAAGAAATGGTTCTTTGAGAAAGTTGAGTGCCCCTGAGTTTGTTTTCTATGAGTGCATTCCTCAGAACGCTGACATAGGAATTGTGAGGACTCCTCAATTTTACGACAATTCGGAGCAGCGTTTCTGATGCAAAGCAAGATGGTAAGTGAGTCGTAAGCCGCCTAGAGCCACTTCTTTCCTCTTCGCATGATGCCAGCTCCCCCTTTCAAAGCCAGCCCTTTGGAGGCCAACCTCTCTGGCAAGGAGCAGAACACCTGGACTCACCTGCAGGACGTGAGGCACGGATTCCAGCAGCTCTATCAACTTGGAATACCCATAATCAGACACGCGGCATTGCTTGGCAAAATGGTGATGGTACATGGGGATGAACTTGCTGACGGACATAATACAGGAGGGCTGGTTTTTAAGGAGATCAATCACATCTCTACTGAACTGGATGAGTTGTGGGTTGCCCACGGGGCTCTTTGAACGGAGCAGCCAAGGCTCTGGAACAGAGGAAAGAAGACCAAGGAGGCATCTTTACTTGCAGGAGAAGGCAACAAACCTCATAGTCAAAGAGCAGAAATTGGAGGAAGTACCCCATTTAGAATAGAATAGAATAATGGAGTTGGAAAGGACCTTGGAGGTCTTCTAGTCCAACCCCCTGCCTAGGCAGGAAACCCTACACTACTTCAAACAAATGGTTGTCCAATCTCTTCTTAAAAACTTCCAGTGTTGGAGCATTCACAACTTCTGGAGGCAAGTGGTTCCACTGATTAATTGTTCTCACTGTCAGGAAATTCATCCTTAGTTCTAGGTTGCTTCTCTCCTTGATTAGTTGCCATCCAATGCTTCTTGTCCTAATTTCAGGTGCTTTGGAGAATAGCTTGACTCCATCTCCTTTGGGGCAGCCCCTAAGATATCGGAAGGCTGCTCTCCTGTCTCTCCTGGTCCTTCTCTTCACTAGACTAGCCAGGCCCAGTTCCTGCAACTGTTCTTCATATGTTTTAACCTCCAGTCCCCTAATCATCTTCGCTGCCCTCTCTGTACTCTTTCTAGAGTCTCAACATCTTTTTTACATTGTACATTTGTAAGACTAACTGCCTGAGGGAGGAGTCAAAAGAGGAATAAGCCTGGAGTCTTTATGTTCCCATCAGTGGTCTACGTCCAACCCCATTTTGAATTTTGTTCACTTTCATCTAGTGCCAGTTTAGGGATGACCGTCAGTTGGCTAGTTTCTTGTGTGTAGGCATGAGCAACATATCATCTTAACTGAAACTTAACGTGTGGTCCCAATTCTTTGAGAAACTAACCCCGTTTACTGGAAATGAGAAAAGGAAAAAAGTATAATCTGACGCTGTTCTTTTCAAACGTTTCAAAGGACAACTCCCCTAACACCATGAATTTAGGCTATCTGGCATGGATGGACCTGAACAGAGGTGGGCTTCAAGAAAAATTGTTTAAAAATTTTTAGCAACGGGTTCTCTGCCTGGTTGCTGGGTGGGCGTGGCCTAGTTGGCCTCCTGCACCATGGTGGGGAGGCTCTCGGGAAGCCAGAAAAGGGCCCATTTCTGGCCTTCCCAAATTTCTGAGAGGCCAGTTGGGGGACCGGAGTGGGATTTTGGGGGTTCTCCAAACTGCATAGAACCTTAGCTAGGGGCTCTCCCGAAACCCTGCAAACCCCCACCAGCCCACCCATGGACCTGAAGTCCCCAACTCCAAGAGAACGTTGGGCTGTCTGAAAGCAAGCTTACATTAAGTAAAAAGTGGTTAAGGCACCGGGCTTGAAAGCGGGAGAGGGTGAATTCAAGTCCCTCCTTAGCCATGGAGGTTGACTGGGGGCAGGGGTGGGATTCAAATTTTTAAACACCCGGTTCTGTGGGCGTGGCTTAGTTGGTGGGCGTGGCTTGGTGGTCATGTTATTGGCTGGGTGTGGCCAACTCAATATCACTCATATCGAGGCATGTGTCTCCTCCTCCTAAGCGTGAAAAATGTCACATAAGTCACATTTTTTCAGTGCCATTGTAACTTTGAATGGTCACTCCACACAAACAAAGTACCAACAAAAGAGGGGAAAAGAAACTCCAGAGACGTTCCTGAGACAGGAAGTCTAGTCCTGCCAAGAATGTAATAAGGGTTAACGGAGAGGCAGTTTCTGTAAGCAACACCAGAATGTTTCCTTCCTGCCTTCCTTACAGGATTAGGCCTGTAATTTCTTCTAACAACTGGTTCTCCGAACTGCTTAGAATGTTAACAACCCGGTTCTAGCGAATAGGTGCGAACTGGTAGAATCCCACCCCTGGCTGGGTGACCTTGTGCCAGTCCCTCTCTTTTAGCCCAACCCACCTCACAGGGTTGCTGTTGTTGTGGGGAAAAATAGGAAGAGGAAGATCTGTTGGGTATGTTCATTGCCTTGAGTTATTTATAAAAATAATAAAGGCGGGATACAAATGAGTACAAACAAACACACAAAATGTGAGTCCAAAAAGTTCATGGTTGCCAGTGGGCAATCTCCCCCCCCACCCAATATACATCCATTTTGTGTGTGAACAGAGTTAGTTCTGGGTATCATTCATATTAATCAAGTTCACCACAACAATATTAGTAACCTCTATCACATTGTTCACATTTAAGTAATCCTCATTATAGTGTTTAAACATACATCAACTAAAAAACAGCTAACCCCTCATCTCCGTCTCTATTTTCATCTATTTCTTTCTTGTTCAATCTAAACATTTCTTTATTATAAACAAAATTAATATTAGGTATCGTTCATATTGATCCAATTCACGCTAAGAATATTAGTAATCTCTATCCCCCTTATCCAATTTAAATTATTCTCATTATATCATTTGAAAAATACATAAAAGAAAATGCCTAACATCTGTAAACTTCTGGTCTTTCTATCTACGATTTTTATTCATCCTATTAAAAATTATATTCTAATATTGCCAGCGAGCCATCTTGGTAGGCTGGGAAGAGAAGAGTTCTACCAAATCTCACATCGTTGGGATTGTCTCCCGCTTCACGGGTTGTCTTTGCAAATTCAGACCATGGGGGGAGAAATGGGACGAGTGGTCAAGTTTAGGTAGCCAGCTAAGACAGCGACCAAGAAGGAGGAACATAAAATACCTGTGGTGGGAGGTGGCGGTTTATTATGTATCCATTTTACCACTTTGATGCCGTTTTGTGCCGTAGCAATATTAACACCAGGAACGCAGGAGATAAGGTGCTCCAGAGGGACGCCTCCGTGGCCTTCTGGAACCATTTCTAGACTGTTGAATTCTGAAGCATAACAGTCTTGGAAGCTATAAAAAAAAGGGAGGGGGGAAAGAAAATTAGCTCAATGCTTGTAAGGTAAAAGTTCCCCTTGCACGTACGTGCTAGCTGTTTCCGGCTCTAGGAGGCGGTGCTCCTCTCCGTTACAAAGCCGAAGAGCCAGCGCTGTCCGAAGACGTCTCCATGGTCATGTGGCCGGCATGACTAAACACCGAAGGCACACGGAGCGCTGTTCCCTTCCCACCAAAGGTGGTCCCTATTGTTCTATTTGCATTTTTACATGCTTTTGAACTGCTAGGTTGGCAGAAGCTGGGACGAGTAACCGGAGCTCACTCCATTACGCGGCGCTAGGGATTCGAACCGCCAACCTTTCTGATCGACAAGCTCAGCGTTTTCGCCACTGAGCCACCGCACCCCTTCTAGGATGCGGTGGCTTATAGGGCTATTTATATTCCTCTGCTTGTGAACAATCTTCGGGTAACTACTGGAGATCAGAAAACAAAAAACAGCACCCTATCTAATCAAAATAAGCAGTGGTACACTTCGGATTGGATCATAACTGCAGCGATAACGGATTAGTAAAAAACCAGAAAACCCAGCAAGGATCCTGAACGTGGGCATTGCAGACTCACATCGGTTCTGAATATTAATTTGAAGAGTTGGATGCATCTCTACCCGTTCTTTAAGGAGCGTAAGATATAACCCACAATGCTCTGTTGCCAGGTTTATCCACATAAAATGGGTTCGGCTGAAAGTGAGTGAGGAGCCAGGAATCTTCCAGGATGTAAGAATGGACTGAAAACCACGCTCAGACTTTCCACCTACACCACACTACCTTTAGATGTATGAGTCATTTTATAAGCAGAAGATGGTTTTATTCTATTCATAATCCACAATTAATAATTTGAGAAGTAGCAATAAAGGGGAGTATTTGTAGCTCAGGGTCAAAATGAGGTTCCTTGGGGCACTCTGAGCTTGTTTTCTTGCAGGTTTCATTACCCAACTAGGTAATATCATCGGTGCACTCAACACTGTTCAACTATTACAAAGTCTGCACTACTATTACTGTTAATCTTCTCATCACTCCTTATCACCCATCCCCTCCCACTTTTGACTGTATGACTGTAACTTTGTCACTTGTATCCTTAGGATTTTATATGGACTGTTTCCTAGTGTGATTTGATTGCTTATTGTACCCTATGATTATCATTAAGTGTTGTACCTGATGATTCTTGACTCTTGACGAATGAATCTTTTCTTTTATGGACACCGAGAGCATTTGCACCAAGACAAATTCCTTGTGTGTCCAGTCACCCTTGGCCAATAAAGAATTCAATTCAATTCAATTCAATTCAATTCAATTCAATTCAATTCTAATCTAATCTAATCTAATCTAATTCTATTCTTATTGTACCTTAGGACTATCATTAAGCGTTGTACCTTATGATTCTTGACTCTTGAGACAAATGTATGATTTCTTTTATGGACACTGAGAGCATTTGCACTAAGACAAATTCCTTGTGCGTCCAATCACACTTGGCCAATAAAGAATTCTATTCTATTCTATTCTATTCTATTCTATTCTATTCTATTCTATTCTATTCTATTCTATTCTAATTCCTATTTCATTCTATTCTATGATGTTACCTAGTTTGGGTAATAAAATGCCTGCAAGAAAATAAATGTATGGAGGTTCTCAGTCCTTCAGGTCCTGGTTGTCCCAAAGGTCCTTTTTCAAGAGGCAACTGGACTTTCTTGGGTTTTTCTTCGAAGACGTTTCGCTTCTCGTCCAAGACGCTTCTTCAGCTCCAGAGCCTCTTGAAACAGGACTTCTGCAAGAAAACAACCAAGCTCAAAGAGCACCAAGGTAACCTCCATTTGAGGGGTTTATGTGGTTTCATAGCTTTCTGATGTTTATTGGCAAGAAATTGGCAATCCTTTCTTTTCTATTCAGCAAATCAGACCTTCAGATTGAAGCTACGCATGGCTGCGTTGCGTGGTTGGGTTTGATTTCACAAAAATTTGGCACCATGTCAAGCAACTGTTGGCAAGAGATGCAAAAAGGCACCAATGACTGAGACTAGGAGCTAGCTTCTTAAAGGGCACCAAGATCAAATGACATACAGGAAATACATATGGATGTTGATAAATATAGAGCAACCGTTTGTAAGCTGTTTTAACAGCCAACCTCTCTGCGCAACCATTCTATTACAGATTGAGGATTTACAATTTCAGCACAGGAGAATGACAGAGGAAAGGGGGTGAAATAGAAAATTAAAACGCCAGGAGAAAAAAAAAAGGATTCTTTCTCAAACACTGTCTAATTGCAACCCGGGGGGACGGGACGGGTGGGGGGAAAAGAAGGAAGGAAGGAAAGAGAGAGGGAGAGAAAAAGGACAGAAGCATATGGAATAAGGACATCAATTAACCTGCAATCCAGGCAAGAGGAAAACAGCAACAGAGCCGATCAGAAAATGCAAATTAAGAGTGGGGTTAAGTGAAGTGCAATTCTCTGTGGTTTCTGATTTGCCCTAATGTTCAAAGTGTTCTGTGCAAAACAGGATGTAATTTCAGCACTTCTTTGAAGTGTGTGTGTGTGTGTGTGTGT